ACAGTTCCAAGCAAGTCACATTTGAACCAGAAAATACAAGGCTGCAAAAGTAAAACACCAGTACGTTAAATTAAATTTCAGATGAAACAAGGCAGTAGATCAGAGATCTCCAGTGTGCCATGCTCAATATAGCTCACATTGCTACAATAAGCAGTAAGCAGTGCTCCAGCAGAATATTCCAATTGGCTTTCAAAATAAATCTCAAGTAGGGGGTGTAATAATCAAGTTGGTAAACTCGATTTGAACATGAAACGTATTGATTTCTTCTGTGGCTAATCACCATCATGATTTTAAATTATAAAGATCAGAAATTCTCTTCTCCCTCAATGCATACAGTAAATTGCAAACCAACAACAGCCTATAGAGCTGTAATTGCTATCCTGACAGGATAAAAACGCCTACTTGTCCTATTGTTTTTGTCAGTCCATCTCCTCTCTACCCTTTTCCTCTGCTTGTTTATTTTATCCGTTTGTTCACCACAAATGTGAGCTTCGGGGCTATACAAATGAAAAGCTTTTGCCAGATGTTGCCACAGAGCAACAGAAAGAACTGCCTTCTCACTCCACAGACAGAGTACTTGCTTAGATACCCCAAAAATCCGCTCTTTCCCGCAGTAACATATTGCACATCCTCAGCTTAGTCAATAATAATATATTAATTTTGATACCATTAACATATACCTACTACACAACTTGGACTATTTTTCTCAGCTGTATTAGTCTGTGTTTCTCTCCAAATGTAACACTATCATCCTTCTACTCTCTTGGCTCTCAGAAGAGGAACTCTGTTTCATAAAGGTCATGTTTTATTGAGGTAATGCTTGTATTATTTGGCGTACAAAGACACGGATAATCTTAACCAAGTGTGGCTGACGACACCCGCAAAAGAAAGCCTTACACATCCTTGTTGTGATTACCGAATAGAAAGCAAAATTGTCTGAAGACAGTATCTTTGAGTGAAGAACACACAGGACACAATTTTGGGGCAGGAAAAACAGCAGAGCTTTCTTTTTGTTTTTTCCCAGAAGATTATCATCATCCACATCAATAATGCTGAAGCTGGTAATTCTGAAAAGGATCTGCCACATTCAGAGATCAGGACACACAATATCGGAAATTAGGCTTCAGTAAATAACTGCAATTTGGCTCAAAGTAAGGACGGATGCAAATGAAACTCTGACAGGCTGGAGTTTACTAGAAGGTCCTGAACCATGACTGTCATCTCTAATGATTAGACAAAGAATAATAAAGATCACTCTCCGGTAAAGAACTGTCGTGAAAATTATAGAAGGAACAAGTATTACATATCCTACCTTCACTTATTTTCTTAACAGCCATCTGCCAAGGGAAGGCAAGGTCAGAAAGTATGAGATCTCTTTTGTAAGAGGGACAATACCCCTCAGCTGACTGCTCATTCCCAATGGCTACCAGAACATAGCTTTTATCTTCCCAAATTAATCTCAAAACTAATTTTTCAGCATAGCTGACCACTTAAAACAAAAAAAGCAGCTCCTTTAAACAGAACAACCTGCCTCTAGCATACAGCACAGCACACTTGTTCAAGTGGTGTAGATGGTACTTTTAGGG